ACTTTGACCTCGGGTTTTCGTGCCATCCGAACGACTAGACACTAATCCTTGCAAGGCCTTCCGTTCTGCACAAATGAGCCACGCTGGCCTCGTTTTGTCGTAACATACAAACGACTAGACAATGTTTCATAATTTAGTCATGTTCGCGTGGGTGGGTTGGCAGCAGAATTGATATGTACATGATAGTGACACGAGTAGGAGGGGGGGGGAGCGGGGTGTACACAAATCACACAAATCAGAGCTTTGTAATACACGCATATACTTGATATACTAAATACACAAATGGCTGAATTTCGAGACATTTCTGGCACTCTTTTAACACATAATGAGAACACTGCATTAATTTCTATATATCAATAAAATATGCCTCAGACTCATTGTATCATATATGATACACTAAATTTCGACATTGATTTTCAGAAAAAATATTGTTTATTTTTAAATTTGAATTAGACTAGTAACAAAATATATTTTCTGGCAACAAATAGCATATAAATAAAAATAGATTTACTTTCTGATTATTTTTTTTAAATGAAATCATTCCAGGGCCTTTATTGACATTTCAGAAAATGTAGAGTTGGTCCCATGCACTTGAGGCCAGGGTCCTTGAAGTTGTACAGCTGCACCCGGTGACCGATATTTATTTAATGGGGAATAAGTGATAATTCATATTATAGCAGTAAATAATTAAAATATTTCATAGGGATTATAATAATATGTAAGCTTATATCATGTCTGGGTTTTACAGGGTTAAAACCAATATTAAATTCCGAAAACGTGAAAAGTTGCTCGCCGGAATTTAGTACTCATGGTACCGTTGGTTCCTGTGTAGCGCATGCGCGAAGTCAAAACCAGCTAAACTCGAAAACAACCTTGTCGGCACGGAAAACATCAAAGGAGAAATTCGAATTTTTGAAATATTCAAATAGCAAACACTCGACCATGATCCAGGCTATCCTGAAATGTAATAATTTCGGTAATAGGAGACACATTCTCTAAGTCACGACCAATTGTGTATGTTTTTAAGCCCATTAATGTGGATTTTTCACTATTTTTCATTTTCAATTCAAAATGGCGTCCATCAGTTGACCTAAATCAAAATTCTACTGCCTACATTTCATGGGCTTTCCTTCAAGGATTTGGAAAATATAATCCCCTTGTCGGTAAGTAAAATATCAAAAAAGCCTTAGCGATATTTCTCATTTCAAGATGGTGGCACTTCCGGTTTGGGCTACAAACTCCATTTTTAGTTTACGAATCAGTAGTGTCGTAACTAGTAAAGAAATACAATTTCAAGGCAATCGGACCTATATTTCGTTGATTTTTTTTTAAAACTTTGATCCTTAATTTCATCAAGGGGAGATAATACAGAAAATTTCTAATGACATTTTTCAAGTTGTATCGGTAAGATCTATTTATATACTGAATTTCATGAAAATCGTGCAACTATTAAAGAAGTTGTCAAGTTGATTTTAACTTCTGGTTCGAAATCACAGCGACGAATTTTTGAAATTCGAAAATCCGAAATAGCAGATTTGAAGTAAATGATTCAAGGTACTCGAAGAATTTTTTTTTAGTAAAATAGGTCAAAAAGTCACAAAGTTACAACAATGTAGGTCAAATGCATTCGTTCGTAAAATTCGGTGATTTCGGATGTGTAAAACGTTTTGAAAACATACCTATTCCAAAGCCACCACCCATTCTTTGGGGGGTAGGTCAAAGTTTCAGAAAGATCCCACTGTTAGATTCTGAGATATAAGATTTGCAGGAAAAACACACACAAAAAAATAATAATAATAATAATCTTAACAGAAACAATAAGCTTTCATATGTAATACATATGAAAGCTTAATAATTTTAGTAAAAACAATAGTCTTTCAGACGAAAGTCTGAAAGCCTAATTACAAAAGCAAATGCAGGTTCAATCAAGAAACTTGCGTGTTCACCGTCTAGTATAACTTTCGATTTTCTGATATCTAGATTTTAAAGCTTATAGATTGCAGTTACACAGGGTACATGTATATGCAGTAGGAAATGGGGAAGTTGGACGTACAAAAGAATGGAATCATTCAGAGAGTGTACTCAAAATAAGAAAATTATAACGGAGTGAAGGCGAGAATTACATGTAACACACTCGTGGACATTGTATAAATATATGACATACGCATGTAATGTAAACGTATGTGTGTGTGAAATGGCTTTATTCAATATCCGCTTCCACCGAAATGAATTGGGCGACATTTAAAGTAGATGTATATTGTCACAGCAGAGATTTGTCGCCGACTAACACAGAGTAAGAATATAGTCGCAATCTTCTGACCACGTGACTTACCGTTAAACACCCTGTGGAGTGATTTACGGCACTGTGCTCTATGAATGATCGATTTAGATTAACTGAAGCTGCAAGTAATGTGTAAAAGCTCATCGTATGACGTATATAATTTAAAGTTTGGATTTTATAGCAGCCAATAATTGATGGATTACATCTAAGTTATAGACGAAGATGTAATGATACGTTTTAAAAAATTGTAAGTTGTTCATTGTTGCATACATTTTGGCCGACGTTATATGAATGTACAGTGCGTTAGAAAAAAATCCTAACCGATACAGAATGGCGGTAAATGTTTTCTTGAGATTACCTAACTCATTTTGTTGTTATTCAAACCGGCCTGGGGATCAGGGTGGCTAAGTGGGTTAGACGCTTGCTCGCTAGCCTGGAGGTCGGGTGTTCGATCCCTGCTTTGGCCGAGAAAGTTCATCCAGATTTTCCGCCGTGGTTCCCCCTTGTCAGTGATGCAGGACGGAGGGCCTGACAAGGAAAGCTGTCTAGTCCTTCGGATGAGACGAAAAACCGAGGTCCCATGTATACATTGGAATGCACGTAAAAGATCCCTTGGCAGTTGGAATTCGATATAAGAGTAGGCGATAGTACCGCTGCCCGGGCAAAATTTCCCTCAAAGCACACTGTATGGCGTATGCCCGTCTTCATTAGCCCAGCATAGGAGCAGAACAGTAGGACGTTAAACCCCATTTCATTTCATTTCATTTCAAACCGGCCTGTACATTATACATGTACACGTTTTCGCGGCAGCATTAGTGTATTACAACTCCTTCAATTAATCATAGACAATATTATTTCGACCCTAGCTTCTCGCGAATTCCTTGCGGGAAGCATGGCAAAACACGATGTAACGTATCTCGGGAAATTCAATGGCTCGTCTAATAAATGAACCCCCTAGATAATTGAACGGGAAATTCAACGGCTCGTCCAATAAATGAACGCCATAGATAAGTGCTCGGGTAGTCCATTTTTAAACGCATCTCGGAGAAACTAAAGGCGTTGCCATTAATCTAAACCATAGTACTAATTAAACCATTTTTGTTATTTTTCAACGATTTTTATCAATTATCGAACGGGGTTTTGAAATTAAACGGAATGAATAGTAACCAATGCTAAAATCCCATATTAAACGATACCATATTTGTAGTGTATGGCCCTTCATCACTTTTAAAAATCTTGTGGACGCTCTAGAGGCTAAAGTTAATATCCGATTGACTTTAAATTTATACACGGTGTTTAAGGTTGTGAGACGAAAAAGCCCAGTGATTTTCAATGATATCCAATAGTTACTGCCAGAGTTATGGTCCTTGATCACTTTGAAATATCTTATTATCCGATAGACTTTAGATTTATACACAGTATTTAAGGTCATGGGATGAGGAATCTTATTGATTTTCAACCATTTCTAATAATTACTGCCAGAGTTATGGCCTTTGATCACTTTGAAATATCTTGTGGACGCTCTAGAGGCTAGAGTTAATATCCGATTGTCTTCAGATTTATACACAGGGTTTAAGGTCGTTGAAATTTATACACATTGTTTAAGGTTGTGAGACGAAGATGTCTATTGATTTGCAACAATTTTCTATAATTACTGCTAGAGTTAATCAGTTATGGCTCTTGATCACTTTGAAATATCTTGTGAACTCTCTAGAGGCTAAAGTTAGTATCCAATATACACAGTGTTTAAGGTCATGAGACGAAGAAGCCCAGTGATTTTCAATGATTTCCGATTATTACTAGTCCAGAGTTATGGCCCTTGATCACTTTGAAATATCTTGTGAACTCTCTAGAGGCTAAAGTTTGTATCCAATTATACAGTGTTTAAGGTCATGAGACGAAGAAGCCCAGTGATTTTCAATGATTTCTGATTATTACTAGTCCAGAGTTATGGCCTTGATCACTTTGAAAAATCTTGTGGACGCTCTAGAGGCTAAAGTTAATATCCGATTGACTTGAAATTTATACACATTGTTTAAGGTCGTGAGACGAAGATGTCTATTGATTTGCAACAATTTTCTATAATTACTGCTAGAGTTAATCAGTTATGGCCCTTGATCACTTTGAAATATCTTGTGAAATCTCTAGAGGCTAAAGTTAGTATCCGATTATACACAGTATTTAAGGTCGTGAGACGACGAAGCCCAGTGATTTACGTTAATTACTACCAGAGTTAGAGACCAAAATTATCATCCGATTGACTTTAAATTGATAAACAGAGTTTAAGGTCTTCAGACGAACAAGGATATTGATTTTCAATGATTTTTGATAACTTGAACAGCTAAATCCATGATATTAAATGTTTCGTATACTAAACGTTAGCATGGGGCAGAACTAAACGCCTAACAATTTCTAATGATTTTCGGATAATTACTTAATGATTTGTTACTCTTAATCAGATTTTAGTGTATTATAAATTTTTCATTACTGACAATAGAAAAAATATGTGAAAACTCTTGTTGACTGCTCGGATGACTTAGCTGCTGTGGGCGTATGTTTCGTTGCCTGGCAACCGATCTTGAGGGGTGGGGGGAATGATGTTTTATGTTAACAAGACCAGGGAACAGGCTAGGCTTGTGTAAATCCATTACATTCATTCTGATTGATAAACATTATTGTATAAATCCTAAGGTCTTTTCGATTATTTTTTATTTTTCAGAAATTTGCATATATACAATCATTCCATTGGTTTGTAAATTCTGTCAACAGGCCATACATTCTCAAGATTCTACATTACCTGTTATAGCTAAACAACTTGGTAAACTATGTCATGGCTTGTGGGATAAACTCACAGAAGACAAAAAAGGATGGTTTTTAGATCAGTATCGAAGTTTATGCCGGGTGGGGTTAGAAAAATCACGTTCAATTGATAAAGACTGTCCTTCGAAGGTATGAACTAATTGAGTGAATTTTGTGTAAAATTCTGATTAGCATTATACTTTTTAGCACCAAACAGTTTAATTGATTTCATATGAACAACTGCTAGAAATTATTGATATTTTTGCCTATAAATAAAATTAGAAAGTCTTATTCATTGGTGGTAATGAATTATGATTAAAATGGCTATTGAAGTAAGCAGTGTTAGTATTCAAAACATTTACTTGAAATTGATGTAATTTTTGTGTTTATATTATTGTTGATCAGATTTTCAGTCAGGGTTGTAAAAATCCAATAGCCCGACGCCCGGAGCTACCAAAAATAACTTAGTTACGGGCTAGTGATCATTTATCCGTACTAGTCCTTGGCTAGTGCCCTTTCATTGGTTTGTGAATTAAACTAGTGACGATATCGATAAATAAACTGTAAAACATTGCACATTTATTTCTCAAATTTCAAGGAAAACTCAATCATAACAATAGATTTTCTGTAGTAAAACTTAGAGCTGTATGGACATTTTTTGTACCCCTTCTATTCATTCATTATTGACATTTCTCCATCTTGCACTCTTTGACAGGTCACGTATAAAACAGTTGAAATCAGGTTAATTTAAAAACAAAAGATTCACAATACCAAGTCATTACTGCCAGACTACGTCAAATAAATCTTATTTAGTGCCCATGTTTGTCAGTTTTACGCTTCTATATTGAAAATACAAAAGCCACTGCAATAATAACGGCCCACGATAATCTCTTAATCAAATTCTATAATTCTGACATGAATCTTTTTTTAAGTTTTCAAGCAAAAAAGTCTCACGCATCGGTCTAAGATTCTCATATTGCTGTCGATACCCCTCACGTACATTATTATCCCACTGAGTATCTTGACCTATCTGTGGGCAGTATCCCTTAAATAAGTTACCCTACTGAATACCTACACCTACCTGTAGGCAATACCCATCACGTAAGTTGTCATGCTGATTATCGTGACCTACCTGTGGGTAATAACCCTTCAGTAACTTAATCAACTGTGGGCAGTATCCCTTAAGTAAGCTACCTGTGGGCAATATCACTCAAGTGACTTTCCCCGCTAGGAATCTAGACTTACCTGCGGGCAATAACCCTCCTCAAGTAACTTACCAGACTGAGCGTCTAGACCTACCTGTGGGCAATAACCCCCATGTTACATACCCAACTGGGCATCTAGACATATCTGCGGGCACAACTCATCAAGTAACCTATCACAGTGGGCATATAGACCTACCTATACGTGATATCTCTCGGGTAACTTACCTGTCTGAACATTTTTACCTACCGTCAGGCAATACCCTTCCAGTAAATTACCCCACTGAGCATCTAGACCTACCTGTGGGTAATAGCCCTTAAGTAACTTACTCAGCTGTGGGCAGTACCCCTTAAGTAAGCTACTTGTGGGCAATATCTCTCAATTGACTTACCGCACTAGGCATCTAGACTTAACTGTGGGCAATAACCCCACTCCAGTAACTTTACCCGACTGAGTGTCTAGACCTACCTGTGGGCAATAACCCCCAAGTAACGTACTTGACTAGGCATCTAGACATACCTGTGGGCAATACTCATCAAGTAACTTATCCCAGTGGGCATATAGACCTACCTATAGGTGATATCTCTCAGGTAACATAGCCATCTGAACATTTTTACCTACCGGTAGGCAATACCCTTCCAGTAAATGGCAACATGAGCACCTAGGCTTACTCTACTGAGCACCTAGACCTACCCGTGGGCAATACCCATCAATAGCGTACCCTACTGAGCATCTAGACCTACCTGTGGGTAATACTCCTCAAGTAACTTACCCTACTGAGCATCTAGACCTACTTGTGGGCAATACGCCCCAGGCAGCTTACCCCACTGAGCATCTAGACCTACCTGTGGGCCATATCCCTCACGCCACTTACCCCACTAAACATACAATGTATATAACTAGCTGCATGCAATATCCCTCAATTAACTTACCCTCCCGAACACCTAGACCTCAATTTAAGGTATTGAGGTTTTGGGTCTACTTTGCTTCTAACTGTTGCCGAAATTTGCATGTAACTTGCCGCCCCTACCTACCCACTGTCAATACCCGAAAAGGGAATGGCATAATACAATACTTATGATTTCCCTTCTTTTTAATGCCCAATTTATCTCTAGCAATGCGAATACATAAGCTCGTAAATCATACAGTTCTGGTACAAAAACGTTCAGAAACCTTGTATGTCGTAAGAAAAAGACAGATTTGGAGGTGAAAACCTTGTAAGTCCGAAATCTTAAAAATGAACAAACGTCAGCTTATATTTGACAGAACATCTAATAGGGGTTATTTTCAAAGGTACAAAAAGAAAATGTTAAGCCAATCCGCCAAGTATCTGATAAGTTATAAAGTTATTTGTTCCTCCTGTAAAATTTTATTTATCGGACTTACAAGGTTTTAGAATGACACCGACGATATGAAGTATTTACATGGTCTTTAGTGAAAGAAAACATTGTTGTGTCTACCATTCCTGGTTTTGAAGGTCATATATGATATGAAAACGAATATCGGTTTGTAGTTTTTTAAACCGTTTCACCAGTGCAACCGAACCGTGACCGGTTAACCGAGTAGCCGTATACATCCTTAATTATTAGGCAATCAAGTCTACGATCATTATTAAAAACGATAGGTTGGCAGGCAGCAAAACATATGCCCAAATATTGAAGATTAAATCTTGTACCTTGTCAAACTACGGACTAGTGGATATTAATGCTGGGCTAGTGCCTGACAGTAGACTACTAGCCCTGGGGTAGTGGATTCAAAAAAAATTTTACGCCCCTGTTTTCAGTATTATAATTTATTTTGATTGTGTATATATTTTAGACTGATGTGTCTGATTTGTTTGACGAAGAAGATAAAAAAGTTGAGTGCCGGAAAAATTGTTCCTATAATTTTCCAGTAAGTATCCAAATTCTCTCTGGGAATGCTCAATTATCAGTCTGGAACGTTCCAGAACAAATTGATGGAATTGTAATTGAGTGACACAGAATTCATTCCTGCCACAGTTCTGTAAGTCCTGACACCTGAGGTGGTACGAGTAGAATCATGACGTAAATCAAACACAACAGATGTTTTAACAAATTGATGGAATTGTAATTGAGTGACACAGAATTCATTCCTGCCACAGTTCTGTAAGTCCTGACACCTGAGGTGGTATGAGTAGAATCATGACGTAAATCAAACACAACAAATGTTTTAAGCTGTCATGGTTGGTTGAGATATTTTCTTATGCAGTCGAAGCATGCTTTGTAGCTGGAATTCTCAATTCTCACTCGATTTTGCTTATTTGGGGATTGGGAGAATTCAATTCCGGAACGTTTAATCGAGTATCGCATTGATTCCACTTCTGTGGTCTAAGGGGAGATAATATTAACTCTGGAACTACGGTATGATCTACCGCCCTTGCATCAATGTTTATGAAAGACGCCTCAAAAAGATACTGTCACACTTTTGGGGACATAATAACTTTCTTTCTAATTGAGCTAGAATGTTCAAACTTGGTGTAGGTGTTTATTAGGTCAATGCCTTGATGGAATTTGAAGATGAACATTTACTGCTTAGGGTAAGCAGAGATATTCAATTTGATTGGTTGATGCTTTGGGACACAATAACTTTAGTTTTAATTAAGTGAGGGTGATGAAATTTGGTGTATAGTTTTATTACATCAATACCTTGACTAAGTTCGATAATGAGCATTTTCTGCTCAGGGTAAGCAGAGTGATAAGCAATTTGATTGGTTGAGACTTTGGAACACAATAACTCTTCTTTTAATTGAGATAAAATGTTCAAACTTGGTGTAGGCGTTGATTGGGTGAATGCCTTGATGGAGTTTGATGATGAACATTGTCTGCTTACGGTAAGCAGATATAAGCAATTTGATTGGTTGATGCTTTGGGACACGATAACTTTAGTTCTAATTAAGTGAGAGTGAGGGCACTTGGTGTAGAGCTTTATTACATCAATACCTTGACTAAGTTTGATAATGAACATTTTCTGCTGATATAAGCAATTGATTGGTTGATGCTTTGGGACACAATAATTTAGGTTTTAATAAAGTGAGAGTGATGAAACTTGGTGTATAGTTTCATCACATCAATACCTTGACTAAGTTTGATTATGAGAGCGTTTTTGTCTCAGGGTAAGCAAAGCAATAAGCAATTTGATTGGTCAAGACTTTGGAGCTCAACAACTTTGATTCTAATTGAGTGATAGTGGTGAAACTTCGTGTATAGATTCATTACATCAATACCTTAACAAGGTTCGATGCTGAGCATTTTCTGCTTAGACAAAGTAGAGACTTCATTCTGATATATCAAGACTTTGGAACACAATAACTCTGCTTCTAATTGAAGTAGAATGTTCAAAATTGGTGTAGGTATCTGTTACGTGAATGCCTTGACATATAGTTCGTTCATGCGCATTTTCCACTTAGGCTAAGCAGACTTTGGAACATGATAACTTTGGTTCTAATTGGATGAGAGGATGAAACTGAGTATAAATTCATTATATCAATACATTGACTACGTTCAATGATGAGAATTATCTGCTTAGGCTAAGTATTGATAAGCAATTTGATTGGTCAAGACTTTGGAACATAACAATTCTGTTATTTGAGGTATAGATGTTCTTTAGGTGAATGTCTTGACTGAGTTCAATGAGTAATATTTCTGATTAAAGCTAAGTGGAGATAAGCAATTTCCTTGGAGAGTGATGAAACTTAGTGTATAGTTTCACTCACTACAAGGTACTTCAATACCTGGGTTTGATTGTGAACATTTTATGCTTAGACTAAGCATAGATAATCAGCTTGATTACGCAATACTTTTGAAAAAGATAAATGTACAATTATTTAATATGTGTCATCTGGCGGGGTTGTGGGTTTTTTTTATTTTGGTGGGGGACATCAGCCTCACTGTTGGCTTGTTTAAAATATTTTATATTATTGTTCCCCGCCTTTCGAAGAAAGCAGGGGACTATTAAAATGGGTTCGTCTGTCTGTCTGTCACACTTTTTGGGACACTATAACTCTCTTTCTAATTGAGCTAGAATGTTCAAACTTGGAATGGGTGTTTATTAGGCCAATGCCTTGATGGAGTTCGAAAATGAGAATTTTCTGCTTAGGGTAAGCAGAGATAAAGCAATTTGATTGGTTGATGCTTTGGGACACAATAACTTCAGTTCTAATTAAGTGAGAGTGAGGACACTTGGTGTATAGCTTATTACATCAATAACTTGATTAATTTCGATAAGCATTTTGATTGGCTGAGACTTTGAAACACAATAACTCTCCTTCTAATTGAGGTAGAATGTTCAAACTTGGTGTAGGTGTTTATCATGATGGAGTTCGATGATGAACATTGTCTGCATACGGTAAGCACAGATAAGCAATCAGATTGGTTGATGGTTTAGGGCATGATAACTTTGGTTTTAATTAAGTGAGAGTGATGAAACTCTGAGTATAGATTCATTATATCATTACCTTGACTAAGTTCGATGATGAGAATTTCCTACTTAGACTAAGGATCGATAAGCAATTTGATTGGTCAAGACTTTGGAACATAACAACTTTTAATTGAGGTAGAATGTTTAAACTTGATGTAGGTGAATGAGTTCAATGATTAATATTTCGAGCTAAAGCTAAGCAGAGCTAAGCAATTTCATTGGTCGATGCCTTGGGACAAGATAACTTTGAATCAATCTGATAGAGAGTGATGAAACTTGGTGTGTAGTTTGATTGCTCGATACTTATGAAAAAAATAAATGTGCTATTAATTAATATGTGTCATCTATTTATTTTTGGATTTCAGCGGGGGACTTCAGCCTCACTGTTTGCTTGTTTAGTATTATATTAATTACATATATTTCAGTCAATGGCATTACTGGTAGGAGCAAAATGCTTTAAAATCGAATTACATTCAACATTTGTTGCGTTATGTAAAGATCCCCACGTTTTAGTGAGGAAAAAAATGGCAGCTAGTTTTCACGAGGTTAGTTCTTTAAATGAAGATGTTGATTGATATTATTTGTATACAGTGGAATATGTCACTTTTGGCTTCTGAATAATACAACATTTTGTCGCGATGTTTTTCTTTCTTTCAACCAACAAAGTTTTGAATAATCTGTGTCCTGAATATTACTGGGGTTGGCTGAATGGTTAGCGCATGTGTTTTTATATGCCCACATTTACATGAGGACGTATATTGTCGTCGCCCCTGTCCGTCGGTCCACAATTTGTTTGTGGACACTCTACAGGTCACAATTCTTATCCGATTTTGACGAAACTTGAAATGTAGGTTTATCTCCAAAAGATCTTGGTTGCTTTCTTAAATTAGCATGTATCTGATTGAAACTTCATGGATTATGCCAATTATGGCCCCTGTTTGTACGAAAAATCACGTTTTTAGCTTGTGGACCCTATAGAGGTCACAATTTTTATCCGATTTTGTTGCAACTTGAAATGTAAGTTTATAACCCAAAGATCTTGGTTCCTTTCGATATTTGCGCATATCGAATTGTAATTTCCTGGATTATGGCCCTTCATTGTAGGAAAAATCACTTTCTCTTTAGCTTGTTCTCCATCTCTCGAAAATGTGGGTGTATCCTGCCTGGCAGCCGCTGGTCTTTCTTTCAACCAACAAAGTTTTGAATAGTCCATGTCCTGAATATTACGGGGGGGGGGGGGATGGCTGAATGGTTAGCACGTGTGCGTCTTATCACAGTCTCTCATTGAGTCAAGTAGTGTGGTTTTGATTCCCCAGTTGTACGTGACATGGAGTAGGGTCGCCTGTCCAACCTCGTGGGTTTTCTCTGGGTCCTCTGGTTTCCTCCCACTGCTAAAAACCCCTACTCGCAAGCAAATTAATTAAATGAAATTGAATCATATGTTAGTCCCAAAATGACCTTTACAATTTTGAATAGTCTGTGTCCTGAATATTACAAATTACAACATCAATTCGCAGTTATGTGTAACAATGTGGACACTCTACAGGTCACAATTTTCATCTAATTTTGATGAAACTTGAAATGCATGTTTATAACCAAAATATCTTGGTTCCTTTCGATATTCGAGGGGGTTGGATGGCCGAATGGTTAGCCCGCGCGCGCTGTATCATAAGGTCTGTCATTGAGACAACTGGCGGGGTTTCGATTCCCCGGTAGTACGTGACAAGGAGTAGGGTTGCCTGTCCAACCTCGTGGGTTTTCCCCGGGTCCTCCGGTTTCCGCCCACAACTAAAGACCCCTACGCGCAAGCGAATTATGGAAATAAAATTGAACCATGTTAGTCCCGAAATGACCTAGTTTGTGTCGAGTGGACGTTAAACCCCATTTCTCTCTCTTTTCTTTCGATATTCGCGCATATTGTATCTAACTTCCTGAATTATGGGCCTTGATTGTATGAAAAATTGCGCTTTTAACTTGTGGTTCCTCTAGAGATCACAATTTTTATCCGATTGAAAAAAACCTTTGAATATATCACCGTTACACCCTAATAATGGCTGAGTTCGACTTTCGTGAAAATGGGACCAAAACTGCCGGACAAATGGCAGTCCCTTGTATGCAAATAGTGTAAATATATGGTATATCAAGGTTGTGGACCGTCTAAAAGTCACAAGTTTGATCCGAAAGATCTCGGTTCCTTTTGATATTCGTGCATACCGGACCGTAACTTCCTGGATTATGGCCCTGATTGTACGAAAAATCACATTTTTATACGCCCACATTTTCATATGGACGTATTATGCCGTCGCCCCTGTCAGTCCGTCCACAATTGTTTGTGGACTCTCTACAGGTCACAATTTTTATCCGATTCAAAAAAACGTATTATTATATCACCGTTACACCCTAAGGACGGCTGAATTCGAATTTCGTGAAAATCGGCCCAAAACTGACAGAGAAAATGGCCGCCCCTCGTTCTCAAATAGCGTAAAAATATGGTATATCAAGGTTGTGGACCCTATAGAGGTCACAATTTTTATCCGATTTTGTTGAAACTTGAAATGTAAGTTTATAACCCAAAGATCTCAGTTCCTTTCGATATTTGCGCATATCGAATTGTAATTTCCTGAATTATGGCCCTTGATTGTAGGAAAAATCACTTTCTTTTTAGCTTGTTCTCTATCCATCTCTCGAAAATGTGGGCGTGTCCTGCCTGGCAGCCGCTACTTTTCATTTATTTTCTGAGGGGGTCATGTGACAACTTTCTGGGAATTTGGTTCACTTGATATTTAATGACCCTTTAGGGAATTGACATTGAATCTGTGTGGTGTGTGGGCCGCCTGGGTATTGATAAAAGTTAAACATAAATTGATTCACATTTAAACTCGTCCTATGTCTGCTTTACTGTTCAATCAATATTAAATACTTTCTAAAATTCTTTTGAATGATTTTTATGAATTATTTAATTGGTGAGATTTTGATTTTTTTGTTATTTTCTAATGCTTCAGGTTGCTCATATATTAAGTTCATCAGCACATACTTTACAGAATGAGTTAAGTTTAATGTTGAAAGATGAATCGATTGAGGTAGGTTATGAGTGTAGGATAAAGCACAAGACTGAGGTTATGCTTGTTAAAGAAAGACTGAAGAAAATAACTTGAGAAAAAAAACCCAAGTCCGATAGGCCGAGGTTTTTCTGTCGAGGGTTTTTTCTGAAGTCTTTCTTCCCCAGCATACCTGAAGTCGAGGACTTTATCTTGCTTATAAACCGTCTATGTTTACATGTACGCAAGATGATAATATCCCAGAATTCCCATAAGAAAAACCTTAGATGATGTTTTCTTATGGAAAAAAACAACCCTACCCTGGAAGAATAACCTGTTACAGGTTTAAAGAAAAACTTTCAGAAGAATAACCCCAATTCCCCTGTATATATCCAAAGCCGCCCCCAACTTTCAGACCTCAAGAACATACCCCAAAGATCAAAGAGATTTACCGTTACAGGTTTATAATTAATATGAATCTGATGAATATTTATTTTTCATGTTAAAATTGCTACATAAGTCACAGCTTGTGTTGGAAGAAAATATGTGATTTTTTTTTTTCATCTTTTCAATTTAATAATATCACAAATTTGATCTTTGGTAATATTGGAAAAAGATTTTGGAAGCAGCAATTCTATTCTTTCATTTTGATATAGTTTTCATGTATGTGTTTATTATATTAATTTTCATAAACGTGTTCTGAAAAATGGTCACTTTCGTGTTTTTTATAGGCCCACATTGAAATGTGGTTGTATATTGTCGTCGCCCACGTCCGTCGGTCAAGTGTCCACAATTGCTTGTGGACGCTCTACAGGCTAAAGTTAATATCCGATTGACTTTGAATTCATACACAATGTTTAAGGTCATGAGACGAAGAAATCTATTCATTTTCAGCGATTTTCAATAATTACTGCCAGAGTTATGGCCCTTGATCACTTCAAAAAAATTTATACACAGGGTTTAAGGTCATGAGATGAAGAAGCCTATTGATTTTCAGCGATTTCCGATAATTACTGCCAGAGTTTTGGTGTACCTTGGTCACTTTGAAAAATCTTGTGGACGCTCTAGAGGCTTAAGTTAATATCCGATTGACTTTAAATTTATACACAGTGTTTAAGGTCATAACATGAAAAAGTCTATTCATTATCAGTGATTTATGATAATTACTGCCAGAGTTACGGTCCTTGATCACTTCAAAAAATCTTGTGGACGCTCTAGAGGCTAAAGTTAATATCCGATTGACTTTAAATTTATATATACACAGTGTTTGAGGTCATGAGCCAAAGAATCATATTGATTTTCAACGATTTCTGATAATTACTGCCAAAGTTATGGCCCTTGATCACTTTGAAAAATCTTGTGACGCTCTATAGGATTAAGTTATCATCCAATTGACTTCAGAATTGAGTTTTTAAGGTCTTAAGGCGAACAAGTATATTGATTTTCAATGAATTTTTATGACTTGAAAAGCTAAATCTATGATGTTAAAAGTTTCGTATAAGTGTTAGCATGGGGCAGAACTTTATAAAAACCAAAAAAATTCTAATGGTTTTCTGATATTTAGTTAATGAGTTGTTACTCTTAATCAGATTTTAATATATTATAAATGTTTCATTACCGAAAAAAATAAAAATATTCGACAACTCTTTTTGACTGCCCGAATGATTTAGCTGCTGTGGGCGTATGTTTCGTTGCCTGGCAACTTACTTTTAAATAACTTGTGATTATTTTGCCAGTGCCTTTATATTTATATATAGTGTTTATTCTGTCTTCAAAGTAGGACTTTGAACCTCATTCCATAGTGTTTACATCATAATCTGAAAATCACTCTTTCCACTTAAAGATACATTATGGGAGATTAGATAAAGAGCTGGCAGTTCTCACTATAATACTTAAAAACTAGATACTGTAAAGGGAATTTGTTGAAAATTTCAGTCAAATGGATCCACTCTGAACCGAGATTTTAGCGATTGAATTTTCGGCCTAACCTCTATCACCAAATACTAAAGTTGGTATGATAAAAAACATAGTCTTGATTATCCATTTCATGATTAAATCATGAATGGAAGTTGAACAGCAAATCGGAACCTAATCCAATAAACATCCCAGGCTAGCGATGACATTGAGAGTTGATTATGATCTGGATAAGTTAATTAAAGATACATTATGTAAGATTTAGATAAAGAACTAGCCATTCTTGCTATAATAGTTCGAAAGTAGATGATGTAAAATGAATAATTTGAAAATTTCATTCAAATTACTCTATTGCAAGCGAAGATATTAGCCTTTGAAGGTTTGACAGACGTGTGCAATAATTTCAACCACCGTACTGGTTAATCGAAGCTAAGTCTCTGTCCTTCATATTTGATTAAATCAAAGTATCGCTGAACCATTCTAATCTATTTAATATCAGAGAAATCTGATGCCAATGAGAGTTGATTAAGGCCTGGATCAGTTAATTAATGTCTAATTAATACTTTAGAAAACATTTCAGGCCTAAAGAAAGACCTGCAATAGGCAGATTTAGCTCTTGCATAATGCATGTTCAATGTCTAATTAATAATTTAGATAACATTTCAGTCATCGTTAATATTGTACTTTGCACAAATTATCCATTTAGATTTTTACTATGATGGCTAACTGTATTCAATTGAAAATTCCATACCAGTATTTGTTGTAACCTAGATTTTAGAACATTCCCTTGTATTTTAGAATGGTATGAATAGTGTGAATGTGATGTCTAATATTATTTAATTATATTTATAGGTATTAAGATATATTATAATGCATTTACCAGAAACATTGGATATTTTATCTAAAGGTGACAGTAAAACAGTTACTGAAGCAAGGGTAAGTTTATATTTACTCACACTTCTAGACCAGGAGCCTAGGGGGGTCAACCTAGCTGAAAAGCAGGCTCACACTGTCGGTCGCCAAAGTCGCAATTTCCGATAAAAATATAAAAGTGTCGATTGAAATTTGATTTTGACGATAATTTTGTGATAATGTTTTGCCATACTTGCGATTCTTTTTGAGAACTGTCAAAAAAAAATCGTAAAATTTCTAATCGTATTTATCCTGGATCAACCAATATTGAATGTCAATCACATGGCGGGATACTATAAATTAATCAACTGACTGATAATCCGAACCGTGTCAATGAATAATACAAATCAGTTGTCTTGGATTAATGATTAGTTGATTGATAATTGCCAAAGATATATATTATCTTAGACTTACTGTTTTATTAAAAGCTTATTGCAACTGAAAATTGAGCAAAATAATATTTTTGTTATGACATTTACAAAGGTATATTACAATACCATAAACTTAACACTTAAATTGTTTACCACAAGTAATTGTAGGCCTACATAGAATCACATTTTATTTTTCGATACACAATCTTAGAAAAAATTATGGCTTGTCCATTATCCTTTTGCCAAAATATAACAGATTCTTCGGAAAATATAGTTAGCTTCATCGCAAATGATTATATTTCAATTTCTTTTAATGATAACATATGAATCTAAATTTATTTTATTCGGTAGACTAGCGTTACGTAGGCCTATTATTGTGTTTGTAGATTTTATTTGTTTTTAAAAAAAATATAGAATGTAAAAAGAACATGTGCAACTGCAGACTTAATGGGTAAAGCTTACGATTTAAAATTTGATCCTTTAAAAATCACAACTACATGTAATTCTAAAATTACGAAAATATTACTAGAAAGCATGCGATAAAGAATGCAAGGAATGAGTTGGTTTACATCGAAGCGCAACTACTTCTTGTCCCGCGAAAGCGCAACTACTAAAAAAAAAAATCTAAAATTTAAATTACCGGGTATTAATACGTTTATTAGACCTATGACTATGACATGTCATGGATTCAAGTGGCATGGTTTCGACTCCCTGTTTGTACGCGACAGGTGTGGGTCGCCTGTCCAACCTCGTGGGTTTTCTTCAGGTCCTCCAGTTTCCTCTCACTCAGTCACTGCTAAAAAAAAAACCCATCAATTGAATTATTGAAATAAAACTGAGCCATGTTAGTCCCGAAATTACCTTGATTTGATTTAGCTTAGACAAGTTAGAGCGAGAGGTCATACTATCATAAGTTAGATAGCCTAAAGACGTACCTCTAGATCTACTTCTAGGCCTACAGTACTCAGTAGGCCTACTCTACATTGGAATATATCATATGCAATATAATGCCAATTAATCAATCAAATATGAAAACACCTTTCACCAAATATGTACTCTTACAAAATAAATTTTTTGATGATATATACTGCTGTTATTATAATCTATAGTATTATAGTATTTTCTTCTGTTCAACTGCGAAACGCCTTCTTAAGCTGCCATGTTTAGTGACATTACAGACAAACCCCAAGATGCCGTGCACGACCTACTTTTTATGCAAATGAAGAAGTCGCCATTCTGTGTATTTTTAGTCTGTGGTTACACCCTAAGGACAGCTGAGTTCGAATTTCGTGAAAATCGACCCAAAACTGACAGACAAAATGGCTGCCCTTCGTTCTCAAATAGCGTAAAAATATGGTATATCAAGGTTGTGGACCCTATAATAGAGGTCAGAATTTTAATCCTATTTTGATGAATCTTGAAATGTAAGTTTATAACCCAAACATCTCGGTTCCTTTCGATATTAGCGCATATCGGAACGTAACTTCCTGAATTATGGCCCCTGATTGTACAAAAATCGCGTTTTTAGCTAGTGGACCCTGTAGAGGTCGTAATTTTTATCCGATTTAAAAAAAAAAATTATTATATCACCGTTCCGCCCTAAGGATAGCTAAGTTCGAATCTCGTGAAAATCGGACCAAAACTGACAGACAAAAGGGCCGCCCTTCGTTCTCAAATAGTGTAAAACTATGGTATATCAAGGTTGTGGACTCGATAGACGTCACAATTTTAATCCTATTTTGATGAAACTTGAAATGTAAGTTTGTAACCCAAAGATCTCGGTTCTTTTCGATATTTGCGCATATCGGTCCGTAACTTCCTGAATTATGGCCCCTGATTGTACGAAAAATCAAATTTTTAGCTTGTGGAGCCTATAGCCTATAGAGGTCATAATTTTTATCCGATTTTAAAAACCGTATTATTATATCACCGTTACACCCTAAGGACGACTGAGTTCGAATTTTCGTGAAAATGGCCGAAAACTGCCAGACAAAATGGCCGCCCTTTATTCTCAAATGGCGTAAAAATATGGTATTTCAAGGTTGTGAACCCTAAAGAGGTCACAATTTTTTATCCGATTTTGTTGAAACTTGAAATGTAAGTTTATAACCCAAAGATCTTGGTTCCTTTCGATATTCGCGCATATCGGACCGTAACTTCCTGAATTATGGCCCCTGATTGTAGGAAAAATCACTTTCTTTTTAGCTTGTTCTCTATCCATCTCTCGAAAATGTGGGCGTATCCTGCCTGGCAGCCGCTGGTTGTCACATGTCATGGGTTATATAAAGAATCTCAATAAGGAAAAGGAAGTATTTAAATCGATCAAAACTCAAAGTTATATACGTATATATATATTGAGTAACAGTGCACCCGGGCAAAAAAATCTGGAAAATAAAGGGAAATAACTGAGACTTGTATTGCTGTAATCGAACTGACTCCCCGTTCCAGAAGTTTAAAATACGGATCTAGATGTTGAAAAACGGGACAGATGAGAAAATAAAATGAAAATATAGGGTAATAACTCAAATATTGCAGGAAAATGTCGAACAAGTCAATTGTGTTGTGGAAATGAAATGAAATGAAATGAAATGGGGTTTAACGTCCTACTGTTCTGCTCCAAACTGGGCTAATGAATACGGGCATACGCCATACAGTGTGCTATGAGGGAAAATTTGCCCGGACAGAGGCACTACGGCCTACTCTTATATGGAATTCCAACTGTCAATGTATACACAGGACCTCGGTTTTCCGTCCCATCCGATGACTAGACAGCTGTCCTTTTCAGACCCGTTCTGCATCATTGACAAGGGGGAACCACGCTGGGAAATCCGGATGAACTTTCTCGGCCAATTCAGGGATCAAACATCTGACCTACAGGCTAGCGAGCCAGCGTCTTACCCACTTAGCCACCGTGAACCCCTTGTGTCGTGGAATGATAATTTGGAAAATTATACAACCCTATATTGCACGGTTATTAATATGAAATGAAATAGGCTTTAACTTCCTGCTAATCTGCTTCTACTGGGCTAATTAAGACAAGCATAGGCTAAACAGAATGCTATGAGGGAAATTTTGCCCGGGCAGCTGCACTATGGCTCCTACTCTTATATCGAATTCCAACTGCCAAGTGATCTTTTTCGTGGACACCAAGTTATAGACGGGTCCTCAGTTGATCGGCCCGTCCGAACGATTAGACAGCTATTCTTGTCAGGGACTCTGTTCTGTACCACTAACAAGGCGAAACGACGCTGGAAAATGCTGATATTTATGTGTATACATAGTGAGTAATATTGCACCCGGGCCCAAAAAATTGGAAAATAAAGGGAACTAACTGAGACTTGTATTGCTGTAATCGAATTGACTCCCGTTCCAGAAGTTTAAAATACGGATCATTTCATTATTTTATTTTAAAACTTGAAAGATATTTCTATAGTTCAAAGAGCTAGAATAAAGTCACTTGGGTGGGACATCAGGTGTTTCCATATATCAGACAATATCAAAAGCATGCTATGGACAAAATTGCGCAAACATGAAACCCCAAAAATATAAGAAACTGTTCAAAATATAACATATTGAATAGGTCTTATGCCGGAGATTTACTTTTCCCCCCACCAGATTACGACACTTACGAGGTTCAGTCTAATATGCCCAGACCACTTGAATTAGGTTAAATGGTGAATTATCAACATAATTAACGGCGATGGCTTTATGATCTGAATATCTGGTTACATTTTAAATTTTAGCTTGCTAAGATTTAACGTAACAAGTAATGAAACGGACTGAAGTCGAGTCAACTAATAGACTGCTAAAATATAAAGAGAACCATTCCTGCTGACCAAAAGCAAATCTAAAAATAAAAAGATATTGCTGAGACCTTATTGCTGGAATCGATTTACTTTCCGTTGCAAAAAATCGATCAAGTCGTTTAAAACCCAGAAGCATCAGAAAATGAGTAGAAAATGGTTGGAAAAATGCAGAGAAAATATCGAACAATAAACTGAGATAACTTGTAATGAATCTTATATTTTTGGAATCAGATTGATCTCAGCTATTAGAATATTTAAATCAAGTTTGTAAGTTTTAAAAATTAACATAATAAAATGTCATGCAATCAACCTTCGAAAATAGGAAACCAATTCAGGAAACGGCGGCTTATTCCGAGTATTTCCAAGCCGTTAATGCAGATTTTTCACTCGTAAATAGCCTTGTCCAGTTAAATGAATCAATTTACTTTCATTCCAAATATCATGAAAATCGTGCTTTGATCCCTCATTTCTCCAAGGGCAGATAAATTAGAAAATTTCTAAAGACATCGTTTAAGTTAAATGAATCAGGTCTACTTTTATTCTAAATTTCATGAAAATCGTGCTAATATTAAAGAAATTGTCATATTCGTTTTTACTTCAGAAATAATATGTCAATGATGTAATTTTTGAATTTCGGAAATAGCAGATTTAAATTAAATGTTTCAGAGTACCCAAAGAAATATGAATATGTAAAATAGGTGAAATATTCCCAAAGTTACAGCTATGTTGGTTAATTCTTTCAGTCATTAACATTTGGTGATTTCGGATTTCCAAAGCATTTCGAAAAAATGTATTCCAAAGTCCACATCCATTCTGGGAGACAGGTTAAAGATTTAGAAAGATCCAA